ATTTCTTCTTCGATTTGGAACTAGCAAAATCATTAATTATTTTTTTTTAAAAATCTATTGAAGTGGTTATTTCGGCTTCGATTGGTAATACCGCTAAAGCCGAGCAGTGGTCTTGTGCCATTGTAGATGGTGTACATAAGAAAATATGTAGTTATTCCAACTCTAGTAAAATCATGTTCTCTTATAAACTGTAACTTCTGTATTGTTGTAAGCTTAACTTCAATGTTTTCTATATGAGATTTAAATTGTACACATTAATTTACAAAACATGTCGCTAAATCATTTGGGTAAGTTGTGTATTAGTGTGTAAAGTACGAAATGAAAATCTTTCGCTCCTCTAAATCTTTAAAAATTCGCCGATCTAGGCAACGGGACTCATATCCCCTACCTAAATACGCCCCTGCAGACACGTCGGTTGACAACCATACGATAATAATAATAATAACACCGGCGCGTACAAGGATGGGTTTAAGGGGAACCAAACGTCCCCATCCTCTTTGAAATTCGGAAAAGTTGTTAAATACGTTTTTATCGGGTAAAAGTGGTTTACAGATTATACATCACAACCTAGACCCTTCCTCCCCCCTCGTAAAATATTTGTTCGTGTACTCGCCTGCGTACAAGGAACAGACGTGTAACGTTCGGATTCGTTGCAGGCGACTGGCAGCGCAATACAGCCCAACACGTCGTCGGTCATTGTGAGCATCATTGCTCTCATGTCCACGTACGGTTCGACACTAGCCGTCGACAGGCTAGGAAGGAAGTTTTTACTTTTGGTTTCCGTTGTCGTGATGGGCATCAGCACGTTGCTCATCGGTGCATTTTTCTTGGGTAAAGATTTCAATTACGACGTCTCGCCCGTTTCGTTCATACCGTTAGTGTCGCTGTGCACATTCATAGTCGCGTTCTCCGTCGGCATAGGTCCGGTCACGTGGATCATGATGGGCGAGATATTTCCCGTTCAGATTAAAGGTGAGATCGTAATGTTACGATAGCAATGCGTTTTACTACTGCACCATTTTGACAAAGAAAAAAAAAACCACCTTCAGTTAACAAATAAACTGCGATTAATATACAATATTTGTTACATTGTTTCGCGCGATCAATATTTTGTTACAGATGCTACCAGCTCAATAGTGTGCATGTTCAATTGGTTTCTGGCTTTCTTGGTTACCAAATACTTCGGAGTGCTGGTATCCCTCATTTACATGTACAACACGTTCTTTCTGTTCACGATGTTCAGCGTGTTGGGTACACTTTTCGTGTGGTTTGTCGTTCCCGAAACCAAGGGCAAAACAATAAATGAAATTCAAGTATTGCTTGGCTAAGTTTTAGCGTAGTTGTTAACATTGAATCGACTATTCAGGTACTGCGTCACCGGAAGCTACGAAAACGAGACTCAACAATGATGAAATTCGATAATTTTGATTTCATTTTCTGTGTAATTAATATTACGTATAAGTTTTTTTTGGCACATAATTTATTTAATATATTAAAAATAAAATGCACGTGTGTTCGTACACCATAAAATTACTTTAGAATTATTTTTCTCTAATAAGTTTTAAAATGTTTTGATTTTCTGATGTATTTTCTTTACAC